ATCAGGTACTAGCCGCGCCCACCCGCCCTTTTCGAAAACAGTTGAAAAATGGGCTAAAATCGCAGAACTGAAATACTGAAAAACTGAAAAATGGAAGGAAAATTGAAAAATCGAAAAAGTGAAAAAATTCAACACTGAAATCTTGAAAAACTGAAAAATTGAAAGAAAATTGAAGAATTGGAAAAGTGAAAAAATCCAAAACTGAAACATTGAAAAATTCAGAAATCGAAAAATTGAAAAATCACAATTGAAGGAAGAATTGAAAAATCGAGAAATAGAGAAATGGGAAAATAAAAAAAATCACTTAATCGAAAAATTGAGAAAACGAAAAATTTAGAAACGTCAAAAATTGAAAACTGAAAAATAAAAAAAATTAAAAATTGTAAAACTGAAACATCGGAAAATTGAGAAATCGAAAAATGAAGAAATTCGAGAAACCGAAAATATGAAGAATCGAAAAATCGAAAAATCGAAAAATTCCAACAGTAATATGTCGAAAAATTGAGAAATCGAAATCGAACAAAACCGAAGTATTGTAAAGTTAATAAATTGAAAAACTGAAAATTTTTGAAAAAAAATCGTATCAAAAACTAAACATTCAAAAAATCGAGAAATTGAACAATCAAAAAATCAAAACATTGAAATCCCAGTAAGTTGGTACATAGGAAAATTTAAAAAACAAAAATTTTAAAAATCCAAGAATTGAATAACAAAAAAAATCTAAGCCTGAAAACTCAGAAAATCGAATGATCGAGTACTCAAAACATGAAAGAAAACAAAAAATCTAAAATTTAAAAATTCGACGAATTGAAAAATCATGGAACTGAAAAATCGAAAAGTCGAGATAGTGAGAAATCTAAAAACCTAAAACTTTAAAAACTGAAAAATTAAAATATCGAAAAATTTAAAAACCGAGAAAACACAATATCAAAAATTTGAAAAATTGAAGAAACGAAATATTGCAAAATTCCAAAGCTGAAATATTGAAAAACCTAAAAATGGAAGGAAAATTAAAGAATTGAAACAGTGAAAAAATCCCAAACTGAAACATTGAAAAATTCAGAAATCGAAAAGCTGAAAAATCACAATTGAAGAAAGAATTAAAAAATCGAGAAATAGAGAAATGGGGAAATCAAAAAATAAGTTAATCGAAAAATTTAGAAAAGTCAAAAATTGAAAACTGAAACATCGGAAAATTGAGAAATCGAAAAATGAAGAAATTCTAGAAACCGAAAATATGAAGAATCGACAAATTGAAAAATCCCAACAGTAATATGTCGAAAAATTGAGAAATCGAAATCGAGCAAAACTGAAGTATCGTCAAGTTAAATTGAAAAACTGAAAATTTTTGAAAAAAAAAATCGTATCAAAAACTAAACATTAAAAAAATCGAGAAATTGAACAATCAAAAAATCAAAACATTGAAGTCCCAGTAAGTTGATAAATAGGAAAATTTAAAAAACACAAATTTTAAAAATCCAAGAATTGAACAACAAAAAAAATCTAAGCCTGAAAACTCAGAAAATCGAATGATCGAGAACTCAAAACATCAAAGAAAACAAAAAATCTAAAATTTAAAAATTCGACAAATTGAAAAATCATGGAACTGAAAAATCGAAAAGTCGAGATAGTGAGAAATTAAAAATCATGGAACTGAAAAATCATGGAACTGAAAAATCGAAAAGTCGAGATAGTGAGAAATTAAAAACCTAAAACTTTAAAAACTGAAAAATTAAAATATCGAAAAATTTAAAAACCGAGAAAACACAATATCAAAAATTTGAAAAATTGAAGAAACGAAATATTGCAAAATTCCAAAGCTGAAATATTGAAAAAACCTAAAAATGGAAGGAAAATTAAAGAATCGAAACAGTGAAAAAATCCCAAACTGAAACATTGAAAAATTGAAAAATGGAGAAATGGGAAAATCAAAAAAATCGGTCTAAAGAGTTTAGACAGTACTTCCCTCGCTATCAGAAACGTGACGACTAAATGCCTAATACGTTATTTTTTCCACATTAGATTTCAAAGCATTCGGTTTTGTAGTTTCCGATTAAATCAATAAAATAAATTTGCGCATTCATTAAATTTTTTGAGTCACCCTGTATATCCGAATCCAAAAAATATGAATGGAATGATAAATTACAAGAAGAGACTTATATTTTATACATTTTAAATAGGATTATTCGGCAAACTTTTGGGATGGCGTCATCCATTTTTTAGGAGGGATGAGCAAATATATTTTGATCAAACATTTACCATGCTTATGATAAATTTAAAACATTTCCAAGATTTCAAACCATTCGGTTTTGCAGTTCCTGATTAAATTAATAAAATAAATTTGCGCATTCATTAAATTTTTTGAGTAACCCTATATATCCGAATCCAAAAAATATGAATGGGAGGATAAATTACAAGAAGAGACTCATATTTTGTACATTTTAGATAGGATTTACTCAGCAAAATTTTTGTGGTGACGTCATGAATTTTTTAGAGGGGATAAGTAAATATATCGTGGTTAAATAATTTTAAATAAATAAAATTTGCTACTATTTTTTTATGTACTTTAATAATTTATTAGGAGTACATTTTTCATCACCAAGACTTGCATATTTTTATTATAAATATATTTTGAAAATGATCTCTCGGCAAATGAAAACATATACGAACACTTTTTCGAGTAAACAATGAAGGGAGAAGTTAGTGGGCGTAGGGCTTTTTTAAAACACCTCCTTTCTGGGATAAGTAGTAGATACACTTAGCTACTTATACGTGTTAAACGAAAGCTGTATTTTATATATTTTTTATTATTATTACAAATATATTTATTAGTTTTATTAATTAACAAAGTAAAATATATATTAACAATAATGTTACAATAAATTTTTAGTAATCATGTGTATTGAATTCAGGATCCTGAGTGCAGTAAAAATATTATAGTTCCCCAGTTTTAATTCGGTTTTATGATAGTACCTTATTGCGTAAAAGTTAATTTCCTTAACAATAGATTACTACGGCCGGTCCTGGCGGCTTGTTATAAAACTGAGTTTCTTGCCATAAATTAGAAAAATCAGCGGAGAACGCTAACAATTAGCTTATGGTAGAGCAGGCGATAAGGGTTTTACCTGGAAAGTCGCTTCCGTAAAATTTAGTGGCGCTCCTATCGGCAAAGTACTGAACTAACGGCTCAAATTCTGTAGAATTGATAACCATTTTTTTCAATAATTGTTAGTTTTTGGTAAAAACTCTGCTAACCAATAGATCATTAATTTTCCTCTGATATTCCTGTTAAAATTATTCGACGTATTTTGCATTAATTTGTGGTATATTTTGATATTAATAAACACATTATTATTTAAACAAATTGTACCACTAACAAACATTTAATGACTCTGCTGCCTGTAAAAAGTGATGTTTTATCCATGTGTGAATTTTCAAGCGATGGTTATGACTCAAAAAACTTGAAAAAAAAAACATACAAGGGTGCTTTTTTTACGATACTTCTCAGCCATATTTTTTTAATTGATTGAACTGGTCTCTGCGCTCTAGAATATGAAAAAAGCTGCAGTTTGATGTATGATACATCTATATTAATATCATTTTTGCATACAAAAAACCAAACAAATGTTATACCTCGTCTAGCGAGTCCCCTTAAGTCTCTGTGTCGACTGTTGTTTAATATTATAAATGTTATACAATTTTGGGTTTTCTTCAAAAATCTACAAGGTCAAGGACGAAAATAAACACGGATTCGTGGGATTTTCACTGCAAAATTTTGAAATGACATCATCAAACTGTTGGTGGGGATGATCAGACAACAACCGCCAACAGAGCAACCTATGGAAGTAAAAGTAACCTCATTTTTATTTATTTATACAGGATATTTAAAAACATTAATGAGTGAATCAATGATATTCTTATTAACATTAAACTGTACAGGGTGAGTGAAATTTTTTATTTATCTGTACAAATTAAGAAAAAATACTCTGCAAATTTCAATATTTATTTCTTTTGTAAAACAATATTTTCTTAAAGCATTTTGAGACTAATATAAACAAAAACGTTATTCGAGGTGTCCCCTTTTAGCTGATTCACCCTGTACATATCAAACCTGACATATTTATCCCCACTAAAAAGTTGATGACGTAGTGCAAAAATCCCATTAGGAAAATCTTAATTGATTTGGAACTTGTTAGAGCAATTATTTCCACTATTTCCAAATAATGTTTACTTAATTACCGTAAAATAGCGGCAAAACGGTAAAGTTATAAAATCGACATTTCATTTTGTGCATACTTTTTATGTACACCAAAAAATCGATTACGTCATTATTAAATAATTAGGTTTTAGTAACTTTATAAACTTTGTAACTAGTTTTGAGTCACCAATTATAACGAATTTGTATTCTTATCATTCATTATCCTACAAGTTCTTGAATTGGTAGTTTAACTCATCGTTGCCATTACGTCAACAATAAGACGTAATTTTTTGTTAACAAAAGACCAATCAAACCCATGAGCTGTGAAACCGCGGGGGCGCTGGGGGGCGCATTCCTACTAAAAAATTCTACCACTCATTTCACAATTAAGTCAACCAAATACTCACAATTAGATCAATTCATCGATTTCTTGTTTTAGAATGTTTCTTTGTCAGATTTCTTGTTTTGTATAATAGATATACAAGTGTTTGGTATAAATGAACAAATTTGGAAAATAATTAAAACCACAGTTCGTGGTGGTAGTGATTACAGTAAAATCACTCTTAGACCGACACACCGTTCGCTCGATCTAATTCCACTGTAATAAGACACCTCATAACCCAACTATCCTCTTGTTCCAGTTTAGCCTCCACAATGACCACACAAACCGCGTTCTTTTGTGGCTTCTTTCGGTCTGGCACTCCGCAACAAGTATGCGTTTACCGTTACAACACCTAGTGCGTCTTCCTCCAAACACCGATACCTGTTTCCAGGTAGAAGCCCCATTCTAACACCAACTCACCTTCAATGCACACGACATGGTCCCGAATCTGCTGGGCCACCAACCCATCTGGGATGAGGTCGATCAAATCGTAGATGGCATAGATGGAAGGATGCACACTCTCGAAGCGCTGGATCTCCTGTCGGATGGCCAGGGAGTTGTTGAGGAACGGTTGTAACTGCGCCCTTGAATTCATCGTAACACTTACAAACTCGTAACCATTGTAACTTTCGCTTTTCGCGGCGGGAACTCTCGGAAAACACTGCTTCACTGACGCCGCTCGAACGCACCGATTCTTGATGATGCGACAACGACGATCGAAACTTCGAACGGAGAGGTTAGGATGAGACGTCCGAACACTCCCTCCACGCGAGCTCCATTTGTGTTTTGACTAATGCAGCGACAAAACATCTGGGCTGTTTGCGGCGGTTTGGAGGATGATGGGTGGTTGGGGAGATGGAAATGGGAGTTACAGGAAGGTGGGTGACAGGGGGAGGTTGAGCTACCGGTTGCGAGAGGGCGCTAAAACGTCATGTCACAATTAACTTTACTGACACGTTTTCTAGAATAATTTTAGGTTTATATGAATTGTACACAAAATTTAGGCGACATTAGTGCGAATAATTAAATCAAATCAAGATTACTGCAAATTATTGATACTCGTGCTATGTCGGGCGTTTCCGCGGTTGCCAATACAACTCAAGCTTCGTATGGAGGCGGTAAACTTAAATGTAGACCACGGTTGTAGAATAGATAGGTTGATACACTAGCATACATTTGCATATCCCTGGTCAGCGACGCCAATTGTCGATCGCGTCGCCTGGTTTTTGACGTTTTAGGGACACAGAACTCTATAGGCATCTGTCTATAACCGATGTAATTAATAAAAGAAATCGTACTTATCGACTCCGATCAAATGTCATTTACAAATTTTGTATTGTTCATAAAGCAATGTAAACGAAAATCCCCAAAATAACTAGAATGATTTCCGCTCGACAAGGTAGAGGCGCTAGCTGTATGTGTCCTTTCCATGGATATAGGGATCGAAAAGAAGCGTCGCCATCCCAAGCCATTAGTGTACAAACCTATCTATTCTACAACCGTGATGTAGACATTTAGATACAATAATTTGACTTTTTTTCTACGATAATTCGGTGAAGTTATGTGAATTAAAAGCATTATTTAACCAAGCAATTTCTGCAGTTACCCCCATTGTCGAATGTAGCCTAAATAAACCTGTAATATGTGAAGTTATTCCAGATAAACACCAAATGAGATAGATTTCGAATTGAACTACATCTGTCATCAATTATTTAGTATAGGCACGTTATGGTAGATGGCTCTGATTTCGACAGCTTAAAATTTGTATTATTTTTTTTCTTTTTGTTATAAATGATAGTTGTTTATGATTCAAATGTGTTACATTAGCATTACAAATAAGTCACGTAAAAATATATGTAAACACTTCATCCAACACATACCAATGATATTAAAAATTTCTCGTCAGTGTTCCTGACAAGCTGAAAAATATAACATTATTATTACAATTGAACCGAAATAACTTCACTAATTCTCTTTTAAGATCATTAATTTCATTCAGATTGGATAAAATCAATCAATGAAAAGGAGACAGGGTGGGTGGGCGGGGCTAGTTATGTTCTTCTGTCGAGTGGGAGTGGAAACTAATAGAATCTAGGATGAGAACAAATTAAAAAAAGCGCTAATCGTAAATTCTTTTGTTATAGGATATTATTTGCTATAAAATTTATTTTTTATTTCCTCTACCTGACCAGACCTTGGATAATTTTTGAAAATAGTTAGAAAATGAGCGAAAATGCACAAAAGTGCCAAAATCACTCTCATCTTAGCAAGTACTAGCCCCGCCCACCCACCCCTATTTTCTTGGAAGCTATGTCATTTGCCAAAATTAGTCTTGTCTTGGCAAGTATTAGCCCCGCCCACCCGCCCTCTTCTCATTCTGACGACTAATTTTGTTTCTGTTCAATATAAGATCATTGATTTCATTCAGACCGGATAAAATCAGTCACTAAAAAGGAGACACGGTGGGTGGGCGGGGCTAATTATGTTCTTCTGTCGTGTGGGAGTGGAAACTAATAGAATCTAGGATGTGAAAAAAATAAAAAAAACGCTAGTCGTAAATTCTTTTGTTATAGATTATTATTTGCTATAAAATTTATTTTTTATTTCCTCTACCTGACCAGACTTTGGATAATTTTTGAAAATAGTTGAAAAATGCGCGAAAATTACAAAAGTGCCAAAATCAGTCTCATCTTAGCAAGTACTAGCCCCGCCCACCCGCCCCTATTTTTTTGGAAGCTATGTCATTTGCCAAAATCAGTCTTGTCTTAGCAAGTATTAGCTCCGCCCACCCGCCCTCTTCTCATCCTGACGACTAATTTTATTTCTGTTCAGTATAAGATCATTGATTTCATTCAGACCGGATAAAATCAGTCACTAAAAAGGAGACAGGGTGGGTGGGTGGGGCTAATTATGTTCTTCTGTTAAGTGGGAGTGGAAAATAATAGAATCTAAGATGTGAAAAAAATAAAAAAAAGCGCTAATCGTAAATTCTCTTGTTATAGATTATTATTTGCCATAAACTTATTTTTTTATTTCTTGTACCTGACCAGACTTTGGATAATTTTTGAAAATAGTTGAAAAATGAGCGAAAATTTCAAAAGTGCCAAAATCAGTCTCATCTTAGCAAGTACAAGCCCCACCCGCCCTTTATTTTCTTGGAAGGTATGTCATTTGCCAAAATCACTCTTATCTTAGCAAGTACTAGCCCCGCCCACCCGCCCCTATTTTCTTGGAAGCTATGTCATTTGCCAAAATCAGTCTTGTCTTAGCAAGTATTAACCCCGCCCACCCGCCCTCTTCTCATCCTGACGACTAATTTTATTTCTGTTCAGTATAAGATCATTGATTTCATTCAGACCGGATAAAATCAGTCACTAAAAAGGAGACAGGGTGGGTGGCCGGGGCTAATTATGTTCTTCTGTCGAGTGGGAGTGGAAACTAATAGAATCTAGGATGTGAAAAAAATAAAAAAAACGCTAGTCGTAAATTCTTTTGTTATAGATTATTATTTGCTATAAAATTTATTTTTTATTTCCTCTACCTGACCAGACTTTGGATAATTTTTGAAAATAGTTGAAAAATGCGCGAAAATTACAAAAGTGCCAAAATCAGTCTCATCTTAGCAAGTACTAGCCCCGCCCACCCGCCCCTATTTTTTTGGAAGCTATGTCATTTGCCAAAATCAGTCTTGTCTTAGCAAGTATTAGCCCCGCCCACCCGCCCTCTTCTCATCCTGACGACTAATTTTATTTCTGTTCAGTATAAGATCATTGATTTCATTCAGACCGGATAAAATCAGTCACTAAAAAGGAGACAGGGTGGGTGGGTGGGGCTAATTATGTTCTTCTGTTGAGTGGGAGTGGAAAATAATAGAATCTAGGATGTGAAAAAAATAAAAAAAAGCGCTAATCGTAAATTCTTTTGTTATAGATTATTATTTGCCATAAACTTATTTTTTTATTTCTTGTACCTGACCAGATTTTGGATAATTTTTGAAAATAGTTGAAAAATGAGCGAAAATTTCAAAAGTGCCAAAATCAGTCTCATCTTAGCAAGTACAAGCCCCACCCGCCCTTTATTTTCTTGGAAGGTATGTCATTTGCCAAAATCACTCTTATCTTAGCAAGTACTAGCCCCGCCCACCCGCCCCTATTTTCTTGGAAGCTATGTCATTTGCCAAAATCAGTCTTGTCTTAGCAAGTATTAACCCCGCCCACCCGCCCTCTTCTCATCCTGACGACTAATTTTATTTCTGTTCAGTATAAGATCATTGATTTCATTCAGACCGGATAAAATCAGTCACTAAAAAGGAGACAGGGTGGGTGGGCGGGGCTAATTATGTTCTTCTGTCGAGTGGGAGTGGAAAATAATAGAATCTAGGATGAGAAAAAAATTAAAAAAGCGCTAATCGTAAATTCTTTTGTTATAGATTATTATTTGCTATAAAATTTATTTATTATTTCCTGTATCTGACCAGACTTTGGATAATTTTTGAAAATAGTTGAAAAATTAGCGAAAATGTCAAATGTGCCAAAATCATTCTCATCTTAGCAACTGCAAGCCCCACCCACCCGCCCCTTATTTTCTTGGAAGGTATGTCATTTGCCAAACTCAGTCTTATCTTAGCAAGTACTAGCCCCGCCCACCCGCCCTTTTCTCATTCTGACGACTAATTTTATTTCTGTTCAGTATAAGATCATTAATTTCATTCAAATCGGATAAAATAAATCATTGAAAAGAAGACAGGGTGGGTGGGCGGGGCTAATTATGTTCTTCTGTCGAGTGGGAGTGGAAACTAATAGAATCTAGGATGTGAAAAAAATAAAAAAAGCGCTAATCGTAAATTCTTTTGTTATAGATTATTATTTGCTATAAAATTAATTTTTTATTTCCTCTACCTGACCAGACTTTGGATAATTTTTGAAAATAGTTGAAAAATAGGCGAAAATGTCAAAAGTGCCAAAATCAGTCTCAGCTTAGCAAGTACAAGCCCCACCCACCCGCCCTTTATTTTCTTGGAAGGTATGTCATTTGCCAAAATCAGTCTTATCTTAGCAAGTACTAGCCCCGCCCACTCGCCCTCTATTTTCTTGGAAGGTTTGTCATTTGCCAAAATCAGTCGTATCTTACTAGCCCCGCCCACCCGCCCTTTTCTCATTCTAACGACTAATTTGATTTCTGTTCAGTATAAGATCATTAATCTCATTCAGATCGGATAAAATCAATCACTGAAAAGGAGACAGGGTGGGTGGGTGGGGCTAATTATGTTCTTCTGTCGAGTGGGAGTGGAAACTAATAGAATCCAGGATGTGAAAAAAATAAAAGAAGCGCTAGTCGTAAATTTTTTTATTATATACTTTCTGCTATAAAATTGAGTTCTTATTTCATGTACCTGACCAGACTCTGGATAATTTTCGAAAATAATTGAAAAATGGGCGTAAATGTCAAATGTGCCAAAGTCAATCTTACTTTTTCAAATACCAATCTCCCCACCACATGTCTTCTATTTTCTAAGAGGGTAACCCATTTTGCCAAAGTCAGACTCATCTTAGCAAGTACTAGCCCCGCCGACCCGCCCTTTTCGAAAATATATAGTTAAAAAATGGGCGAAAATGTCAAAAGTACCAAAATCAGGCTCGTTTCTTTCATAGGTCTAACAACTTTTCGAGAATCCGCCTTTGAAATATCAAAATTTTTGGAATTTTTTGAAAATCTGATTTTAAAACAGAACATTTTGAAAGTGTTGCGTGGTGAAGATACAAACGTCATATTTTTGGAGTCAGCACGTCGACATCTACATCCCTGAATTTTTTGAGAATTTTTTGACGACTTTTTTAAAAGTGAAATTTTTCCAATACCCTTCAAATTTTTGACCATTTTCAGAACTTAACTAAACACATTTTCTTGTAGATTTCGAGCTCTAGAACCCACTTCCGACCTCGTTTCTTTGATACTTCCAACACTTTTCCCAGAATCGGCCGCTGAAATATCGAAATTTTTGGAATTTTGGAAAATTTGATATTAAAACGGAACTTTTTGATTTTTGGTGTATTTTTGGAATCAGTACGTCGGGGCCTACATCGTTGAATTTTTTGAGATTTTTTAGACAATTTTTGAAAAGTGAAATTTTTCGATACATCTTCAAATTTCGAACTATTTTTCACCATTTTCGAAACTTATCTAAATACATTTTCTTGTTGATTTCGACCTCTAGAACTCCAGAATCGGCAGGCTGTACTGAGACTAACCTTGGAAAAAGAACGTTTAGAAGGCGAGCGCAGCGAGCACGTTCAGGTTTCGTTAAAAAAATTACGCTATAGTTATCAAGTTTTCTTGAAAATGTGGTAAAAGTTCATGATTTGATCCTTATTTCCACATTTTTTACTTTTTTTATTAGCCTTAGGTTTTTCAGCTTGCAGTCTTTTTCTTAACCCATCCGTTAACTTGAGGATCTCCAATATGTATTGTTATCTTGGGATTCGTTGACAGTTTTTTTTATTTATATTTTTTTTTTCTTCAAAATTATGGTATCCAAAATAAATTTTTCTGGCTTTCTGCTTATAGATTTTTGCTGTCATCTACAATGAAGATGAACAAATATGGGCTCAGTGTAGTCCCCTGCATAATTCTGCTTTATTAGTCTGATCTACTCGTTGCATTTTGGTATTATTGTGTGTATTATTTTTTCTTATGTAGTGTTACAATAGTACAAATTTTGGAGCACTTGACATTTTTGACCTCCAAATGGTCTGCCACCTTCGATTTCTTCATACTTTGTAGAAAAATTGCAACGGAAAGTACCAGGTCAAAATTCCACAAAAGTTACACTTGTGAAATTGTTTGTTTTTTCAGCAAGTTATTAGACGCTTGGTTGCACTTCAATTTCAACTTTTAATAAATACTATCAGTGTTGATATAAATTGCATAAGTTGCATACAGTTTTTCTGTAACATACCTACACACAATCTACTAGCAGTGTCAGTACTACCACGCAAACCGTTACCCAAAAGTGGCCTCCTAAAAGTACTTAAGATGACATCAAAGACACCACTCCTGAAGCTACAAGAAAGTACCAAATCCAAGTACCCTAGCCCTCTTTCGTTAGTACTTTACATTCGAAGACAAAAAAATGGACCGTTTTTCTAGAAAGATGTCCCGAATGGGTGCGTCGAGACCTTGACTCGGTACTATCAAACTTGTCACCGGTCAAAGAACCACAAATGCCACTGCCATTCTGGAATATTTCGAGCTGTTGCAGAACGACGCGACAAAAACAAGAAACCCGACACTGTTATTGGCTGGTACCACTGCAACCAGATTAATTGGCACCTTTTCAAGGTGATTCTAAATTGAATTTGTTTCCAATTTACACACTAATCTGTCAAATTTTCCAAATTCCGAGCACATACAAATCTGCAGTAGTACATTCAGGTTGGTACCACTTAGACATTTTATCTTTCTCAATTCACGTCCTTCGTCTTGGCCTCAAAACAATTTCACTGTGATAAACTCATGACACGAATGTCTGTTATGAAAGTGTCAACACGAACTGGATTTTTTGCTAAGTTGGGGGTTACATTTTTCTCAAGTTTGCTAATAGTTGTGCAAAGAGTGAAATGTGATTAGTTTGTTGTTGAGTAGCGGTCGTTGGCCATCCTAACCGGTCTTGACGGTTGCTGAGCACTAGGTGTTGTTATAATATAAAACACAAGATAACTATAAAGCGTGATTCATAGTCGGTGGAGTGCCAAGACCGTGGACCTGAAGTAAGTTTTTCAAAAAATTTTGTTTTGTGTGTAATAATAGCCGCTTTTCGCACGGGTTACGCTAAATATTTTCTCGCACTTTTTGTTCACGTGCTCGCATATTTGCCATAATCGTAACGTAAGTACTATCATCGCGGTCATATTTTCTTACAATTTGTTGCGTAAGCAACTTTACTCACATTTTATTCAACTTATAACATAAGTGTTGTTAAAAATTCTGCTGCTTGTTTACAAGGTTAATGAAATCTAGAGAAAATGAATCATTCGAAGACAAACATAATAAAGTACTGAAGGTTTATGCTTAAACGTTCAAAATTAAATCAGCGCTAGACACTAATAAATGTGTCAAATTTAGTTCCAAGGTTGGTTAAATTAGGACTTCCATTTTTTCTGCGTTTTAGAATGGTCACCATACGCACATTTCTCTTCTTGGTGCTATTCTATCTCCACCATGCAAGCAGTACCGACCCCGAAATCGAAGCCGAAGAAATAAGAGCCCGAGATTTTCTTCAATTCTTAAACAAGAAGAACGAAGAACACAACAACAAACAATCCCTAGCACATTGGGCGTACGCGTCAAATATCACCGACGCAAACCTCCAAAACCAGGTACGACCCTCATATTTGTTGTTTTCTTTTCCAAAACCCCATTCCAGCTAGAAGTGAGCGCCGAAATCGCCAAAGAACGGAAACAAGAATGGCTCGAAGTGATCAAATTCAACTGGAACACCTTCTCCGACCCCGACCTCAAGCGCCAATTCAAAAAGTACTCAAAACTCGGCTCGGACGCCCTCCCTGAAGACAAACTCAACCGCCTCAACAAAATCACCAGCGAGATGCAAAAAATCTACTCTACAGCCAAGATCTGCGCCTACGATAACTCGTCCCAGTGCGACCTAGCGCTAGAACCTGAACTCACCCAAATCCTTGCCAACTCTCGAGACGACGAAGAGCTCAAACACGTTTGGGTGGAGTGGAGGAATGCAGTTGGACCACATTGCAAGCGCTTGTTTGAAGAATACGTGGATCTGTCAAATGAGGCAGCTCGTTTGAATAATTTTACGGACAATACTGAGAGCTGGTTGGACGGATATGAAGATCCGCAGTTCAGGCAACAGATTGAGTCGCTTTGGGAGCAGCTGAAGCCGCTGTATTTGCAGATTCATGCCTACGTGAGGTACAAGCTGAGGGAGAAGTATGGGGATGTGGTGTCGGAAAAGGGACCGATTCCGGTACACCTTCTAGGTACTGGTGGGATTAGTACGGGACAAAAATTATTTGGTTGTTTTAGGGAACATGTGGGCGCAGAAGTGGCGAAACGTGGCAGAGCTGACTTTACCGTACCCCGATAAGAAAGACGATGATCTGACCGAAGAACTAAGGAAGCAGGTTTGTACATAGAATCCAGTGGTACCGAATTCGTTATATCTTTGTAGAACTACACAGTGGAGCAAATTTTCCGCACGTCTGAAGACTTCTTCAAGTCTATAAACCTGACTGAAATGCCTGAAAGCTTCTGGGAGCGTTCCATTTTGAAGAAACCTACAGATAGACAGATTGTGTGTCATGCGTCAGCTTGGGACTTCTACGACCGAAAGGACTTCAGGATCAAACAGTGTACCGAAATCACTCTGGAGCACTTTATTACAGCGCACCACGAAATGGGTCACGTGGAGTACTTCATCCAATACAAAAACCAACCAGTCACTTTCAGACGTGGCGCCAACAGCGGTACTACTCCCAACTTGTCAAAATTCTCTCTACCTTTGTTCCCCAGGTTTCCACGAAGCCGTAGGCGACTTAATTTCGCTGTCGGTTGAATCGCGCAAACATCTTCGCAAAATCGGGCTTCTGAAATCAGAAAAGGACGACCCAGAGAACATTTTGAACAACTTATTCCAGATCGGTTTAGACAAAATCGTCTTCTTGCCCTTTGGGTACTTAATGGACTTGTGGCGGTGGGACGTGTTTGAAGGAAAAATCACCCCAGACAACTACAACTGTAAGTGGTGGGAGCTCAGGGAGAAGTACCAAGGGGTGGAACCACCGGTGAACCGAAGCGAAGAGGACTTTGATCCCGCCGCCAAGTACCACATCATCGCTAGCGTTCCCTACATTCGGTACTTCGTGAGTTTCGTCATCCAGTTCCAGTTCCATAGGGCGGTTTGTGAGAAAGCCGGACAGTACGATCCCAACGATTCGTCCAAGCCCTTACACGAGTGTGACATTTACCAGAACACGGACGCAGGAAACGCACTTAAGTAATGTCGTACTGAGTAAAGGTTCAATTGTAAGTACTGTTTGTAGACAAATGCTACAAATGGGTTCGTCGAAACCTTGGCCCGATGCGATTGAAGTTCTAACTGGGCAAAGGACCATGGACGCGAGTGCCTTGTTGGAGTACTTCAAACCTCTGCACAAGTGGCTCGAGACCGAAAATAAGAAAAACGGCGCATTCATCGGGTGGGAGAAATCCGACAAAGGTAGTAGTACCAATTTTGAAAATTTAGTACTGAGGTGTGGTTTTCAGTGTGCACGAAAAAACCAGAGGAGAAACAGGAGTGAAAATCTACCAGAACATGAATAAATTAGATAAATAAAGGAACATTGTGATTGATTGATTGTTAGTTTTGTGAATAATCTTATGTCTTATGTCACGATTTAGTAAATGGAGAACATTTTCCAAACATTCCTTGGTTATTAAAATCAAGTTCCTTTATCGATTAAACTTCTGCCGTCTTGGAGGTTATTAAGTATTCACAGTGAATTGGTAATCGTCTACTTTTTAACTTCGTATTAGTTGAGAATTACAAACTTTTCTAAACGTATTGATTCCGTGCATCTGAATAATTGGTTGCATACATTCAAACTTTTATACATTTATTTACAGAAACTGGAAAAAGTGTTTGTCATTATTCATCAGATAAATATTCATTAAGACAAATAATACTAACATCCATTAACAACTTTCAAGCACTTCTTGGACTTCCTCCTATGAAATATTCACCCACCAGTTGGAATGTTCACATCGACAGCTGCCAGCTTGCTCCCCCCCTAATTAATAATTTAATTTAATTTAATTATGGATGCATTTTTTCGCTCACTACAACTTGTAATAAAAGACACAACCGCGCGGAAGTTTCAGTTGAAAATGTCCACCAACACCGACCACCTCAGCTACGTCAAAACCGCCTTCAGACTAAGCGGCTACCTCCCCTCACACAAAACTTTCCACACTCGTATTTACAAATTTTTTCTAACGCCAGTAATGAGTGTCTTGTGCCTATTCACAATCTACAACCTACGTTACATGCACCACAATATTTTTGAAATCGCTGCAACCTTTGAATCTTTGTCCACGCACGGCCACGTAAGCTCGACTACTTTTTTAGTAGAATCAGACACACGGTTTCAGGTTTTTGGAAGAAAACTCGCAATCCTCAAGCATGCCAAACTACTGGAAGAAATCATCACCGACAGGCGCTTTTTTTGGAACTATGACACCTTTGGAGAGGAGTTGAAAACTCGTTTCAACCACGAAATGTCCATTCGTAATTTCATCATCAAAAGCTTGAGTGGCATAAGTGTAGTCATGTTGACGTACTTTTTTCTCACCCCAGTGTTCGCTAAAAACGTGGCTCTGCCACAAGCGGCTTGGATTCCCGGAAACACGACTTTATCAACAACGTTGATGTACATATTTCAGATCGTCTGCATATCTGAAAGTATCCCAGTGGCGATTATCATAGATGGGACATTTTTGCTCATGTGTGGTGAAATGGAAATCCAGTTCACTCTTCTGAAGAAGCTTCTCCTTTCAGTTGAAATCGGAAAAAACGGAAGTAGTGACCACCAAGACACTTGTTTCCAGAAGTTGAAAACGGGTGCCTTGTATCACTCGTTTTTGTTGAAGTACGTAGACTTGTTTTTAGTTCGTGGTACAACTCCAGTTGTAGGGAACACGCCAAAATGAAAAAAGTTTTCTCGGAATTTTTCCTTCTTCAGTTTTTGTTGTCCATAGAAGGTCTTTGCATCGAGATTTTTGTCGCAAATGAGTACGAAAGATAGATGAGTTTTTCTGTGGTGATAGTGAGTTTCAGGGCACAAACTGGGAGGCAGTTTGCTTTGTCTGTCATCTACATAGTGGGAATTATAATGCAAAGTTCGTTCACATTTCTAGCTGCCAGTAATTTAGAAATTAAAGTAAGTGAGTGACTTTTGTAACTCTAGTTGACGAGAGATTTCAGGCTGAAGGCCTGACAGACGTTGTGTATGACGTGGATTGGTACAACGCAACTGGTTCGAAAATACCAAGACACATTATGTTCATGTTAATGAAAGCCCAAAGACCTCTTCGACTAACAGGCGCTGGATTGTTCAACGTGGACAGAAGTATGTTCCTTCAGGTGAGTAAAATTCTCCTCGATCATACCTAACAGTGTTTTTGACCAGATCATGCGGACTGGATTCTCAATTTCTGCATTGATAAGGCAAATTTAATAAATAAATAAATAGAAACTTATAGCGTAGTTAGTAATAGAGATTAGTACACGTGGTAAGTACTTTTATTGATAAGTTCTCTTCCTCAAGTCCTTTTTCTCTGGAAGGACAACCTCATACGCCGGTTCGCCATTCTCCGCAACCCAAACTGACCCATTTTCTCCCTCTTTAATAACCTTGAGGAACCCTTCAGCTATCGCTTCGAACCTAAAACCCACAATGTACACCCTCATTGACACTTTTTTCCAACCCACTCTTGCATCTTCACCCCCATTTTTCTCATTTCTTCGGAAATTTTGTGTGGAAAAACTGACCTCACAGCCACTGGAGCACTATGTAACCCGCTTAGAGTTAACCCTGGGCACATGGTGACAACGCGAACTTTGTACTTTTTGTAAAATTCGTCTCCAGCGAGAGCTCGACCCAAACTGACTATACCGTGTTTGCACACACAGTACACCGGAGCAACCTGGGTAGGCTGCAAACCTAGAATAGAAGCGGTGTTCACGATGGTACCTTCTTCACCGGATTTGTATTCGGGAAGATATTTCCTTAGTGCTAGGTAGCTTCCACGGATAACTGCGGTCTACAAAAAGAAAATAAAAGTGACTAGGGGTTAGTCACTCACTAGATTGACGTTGAGCATCGTTTCCCAGTCTTGCTCATTTGATATTCCGGCGTTGTTAATCACGATGTCCAGGTGTTTGAAAAAGGTGGCGGTTTTTTCGAAAGCGGCTTCGAGTTCTTGGTGTATGGTGACATCCGCTTTGATAAAGAGTACTTTATTACCATATTGTGACGAAAGGGAGTCAAGTGAAGTGGTGTTTTCGTCTACGTCGACTAGTGATACTCCCTGGAAGTTTTCCTTGAACTATTGTTAGACAGAGGAGTGTTCACTAACTTTTGCTTTGTGTTTGAGAAGGATTTTAGCAACGGCTAAACCAATACCGTTGGTTCCACCAGTGATAAGTACTACCTTACCTTCAACATTCATGGTTTCTGAACCGGTACTAGTTGGCAGTTTGGTATGTTGCTTTATTGTAATAATGTACATTAGTGACGCATGGTAAATGGTAATTTCTAGTTTTACACCTTAGCTGATTAATTTAGTAAAAGATAAGAAACCGTGACTATAGCTTTATTCGAAACAATTCAAATCTAAAATATTTACACCTTCATGGTTCTATAATGAGGTACTACAATCTCGTAGGCACGTTCACCCTCTTCACTAACCCAAAACGACCCATTTTTGCCCCTCTTAATAATGTCAATGAGTGCTTCTCCCACACGGTCTGGTCTATAAAATTGTTATAATACAATTCTTAGTTTCAATAATTGACGCGTACTTACGACTGCATAACCGAATTCAACCCCCCAACTTGCTTTTGTTGCAATTCTGGAGACCAAAGCAGTACCGGATTTTTTAATATCTGAGTGTCCACTAACCCTGGACAAATTGTCAAAACGCGAACTTTATAATTTTTGTAAAATTCGTCGTCACCCAAAGCTTTCCCCAAACCGATTAACCCGTGTTTGGTGGTACAGTAAGTAGGAGCAACTGCCACTGCTTGAAATGCGCAGATGGAAGCTGTATTGACTATGACACCTTCCTCTCCAGATTTGTACTTTGGGAGGTAGTTCTGCATGGCCAAATAGGACCCTTCCATTACGGCGCTCTACAAATCAACTTTAGACTTGTTTTGGTGACCAGAATACTTACCAGATTTACTGCCACGGCTTTCCTCCAGTTAACTTCGTCCACGATTCCAGCATTATTAATAACGATATCCAGTTGTTGATAAATTTGTATGGTTTTGTCAAAAGCTGCTTCTAGTTCTTCCTTGACTGTGATATCTGCCTTAATAAACGCAACTTTGTCTTTACCAAAAACGTCTGCGATTTCGTCGACGATTCTGGTTTCTTCAGAAATATCGACGATTGCTGCACCCTGAAAGGTATTCTAAAACTCGTTGGTACTATTTTGGGTGTTTACTTTTGCTCCATTCTGTAGAAGTTGTTTAACCATAGCTAGACCAATGTCTCCGGCACCACCAGTAATGAGAACCACCTTTCCAACAACAGAATCCATGTTCGTGTCTCACTACCAGCTTGTGTTATGTAAATTTTTTGTTAAGATATGATAATTATAACTGATAAGAAGGTAAAACTGGTGACGCACAGCTGCGCTGTGTGCGTTAATTTATTATAGATAATAATTGACATTTGATAAAAATAAAAATTTATTACTGGTAATTGTTTCTAATACATGAATTATTTTGTCATGGTTCTGTAGTGCGGTACTACAACTTCATATGCGGGTACATTGTTTTCAATAACCCACAAGGATCCGTTTTTTCCTTTATTAATAACTTCAATCATTTCCTGGCCTATGCGTTCTGGTCTAAAAATCATAGTCACAGTCGTTATGGAACTAAAAGTACTACTCATAGTTACTCCTGTACGATTAAATTCGCACCACCAAATTCCCGGGCTTTCAGTTCTGGAAAAACAAATCTGCCTGATCCGTCAGACATTGGAGTACGTACCAAACCTGGGCACACTGTAACAATGCGTACTTTATATGTTTTGTAAAACTCGCTTCCACCTAGACTTCTCCCTAAACCTATCAATCCGTGTTTAGTGGTACAGTAAATAGGAGTTACTTGGAAGGTATGTAAGCCACCAACTGAAGCCACGTTGATTACAAGACCTTCTTCTCCCGACTTGTATTTTGGTAGGTACTTCTGCATAGCCAGATATGTCCCTTCAATAACAGCAATCTAAACGAAAGTACTGCTTAGTGCGGATTTTTATCCACCAAGTACTCACCAAATTCACTTCGACCGTCCCTTTCCTGTCAAACTCATCCACCTGTCCGGCATTATTGATCACAATATCCAGCTGCTGGTACTTTTTTATAGTCGTTTCAAAAGCGCCTTCTAGTTCTAGAATCTTTGTGACGTCCGCTTTTATGAAAGTGATTTTGGTCTCTTCAAAACGGTTAACTATTTCAGCCACCGCTCGATGTCCTGCTTGTTCAGAAATATCCACTATTGACACACCCTGTAAAAAAATTTAAAAAAAATGTTTTGATTTTGAAAGGGCTTACCTTTGCGTTATGTTGAAGGAGGTTTTTAACCACGGCAAGCCCAATCCCTCCAGCTCCTCCAGTAATAAGGGCTACTTTTCCCGCTATACAATCCATAGCTCCTACCAAACCCACCTTTACAAAAACACAATTCGCTTCTATTGTTTTATTGATAAAAATTCTACCGGTGCGACCTTAAGACCCTTTCAAACTATGGATTCATACAAATGGTAATGAAGTACAAATTACAATAATTTATGCGTCGTCTACTGCGTAAATTGAGAAAAAATTACAAAAAAAAGAGTATTTCTATATTGGGTGTATTGTTGGTTGCTTAGTTAAACTTTCATGGTTTTGTGCTGAGGTACCACAACTTCATACACAGGTTCGTTATTTTCAATAACCCACAAAGAGCCATTTTTACCCTTTTGGATGGCTTCAATTAATCCCTCGCTCACACGTTCTGGACTACAAATGAGTTTACAGAGTCAGTACTTGCGGTACTACGTATACTTACGCCTGTGCTACTAAACAGACGGCACTAACTTCCTTCTCCAACACTTCTGGAAACAAAAAGCCATCTGCTCGTCCAGAAATAGGGGTGTTCATTAAACCTGGACAAATCGTAAGAACGCGTACTTTATATTTTTTGTAAAATTCGTCACCACCAAGAGCTTTCCCTAACCCAATCAAGCCATGTTTTGTTGCGCAGTAAACAGGATTTATTTGGAAAGAATGAAGACCACAAATTGAAGCTGTGTTGATTATAAGACCTTCTTCTCCGGATTTGTATTTCGGAAGGTACTTCTGCATAGCGAGATAAGTGCCTTCGATAACAGCTACCTAAACTCAAACATTTATTAGTGTTTAATTTTATCAAGAAAATTCTCACCAAATTCACTGCTATTGTGTTTTTCCATTCAATTTCGTCCAATATTCCAGCATTGTTAATCACAATATCCAAATGTTTGTATTTTTTTATAGTCGTTTCGAAGGCTCCTGAAGTACTTAGTTACACAAAGTCAATATAAATAAAAAGTACTACCTTCCAGTTCTGTTTTATTTGTAATGTCTGTTTTTATGAAAGTAATTCTTTTCTGGTCAAAAATGTTCACAACTTCGGTGACAGCTTTGCGTCCTGCTTCCTCAGAAATGTCTACTATTGCTACTCCCTAAAATAAAAAATTAAATGGGTTTGTAGTTGGTTGGTACCTACTTTTGCGCCATGGTTGAGAAGGTTTTTAACGATGGCAAGGCCGATAGACCCTGCTCCTCCAGTAATAAGTACTACTTTTCCAGCGATAAAGTCCATCCTGTTCTGACCAATAAGTGATAGTTTGAACGTGAAAACTAATATTTAAGAACATGATTTATTAACAAGAAGTTATCGCATTTGATAAGATGGGTAAAAATAATCTTTTAAAATAGACGGTACTATCATGTTTTCGATAACCCACAAAAACAATTTGTGTTTATCACTTATTTAACACTAAAGAAAAACCCCTCTAATCCTTTAGATTATATTTTGTTTAAAAAAAAATTTCAGTACGTTAGATATTTAAACTTTCATGGTTCTGTGTTCCGGTACTACCACTTCATGTGCTGGTTCATCCTCTTCAATAACCCACAACGACCCGTTTTTGCCCTTCTTGATGGCTTCAATCAGTCCTTCACCTATGCGTTCTGGTCTACAATCAGGTTTTTAAATCAGTACTATATAGTAACAAGCGTACTTACTCCTGTGTTATCGACCACACGGAACCAAATTCCTCGTCTTTCACCTCTGGGAATAAAAATCCGCTTGAATCTTGAGACATCGATGTTCTTACCAAACCTGGACAAATCGTAACAACGCGTACTTTATACCTTTTGTAAAATTCGTCTCCACCTAGGGCTTTTCCTAAACCTATTAAGGCATGTTTGGTTGCACAATACACAGGCGCGATTTGGAAAGCCTGGAAACCACAAACCGAAGCTGTGTTGATTATAAGACCTTCTTCGCCGGATCGGTACTTTGGAAGGTACTTCTGCATTCCGAGATAAGTCCCTTCGACAACAGCAACCTAGTTAAATTTAAATATTAGTGACTATTTTTGTAACGAAATGTCGTACCAAATTCAAAGCTATTGCGTTTTTCCAGCCATGTTCGTCGACCACTCCGGCATTGTTAATTACAATATCTAGTTGCTTGTACGTCTGTATGGTAGTTTCAAAAGCACCTAACATACATAACAACCAGTTTAAAAATATATATACTTAAATAAAGGTGGTACCTTCTAGTTCTGCTTTCTTTGTAACGTCTGCTTTTATAAAAATAACTTTATTCTCGCCAACTATTTCCATAGCTTTGCGTCCTGCTTTGTCAGAAATATCTACAATCCCTATTCCCTGAAATCAAAAATTAACTTAGGTACTTTTGGTGAGTACCTTACCTTAGCGCCATGTTGAAGAAGACTTTTAACTATAGCAAGACCGATCCCTCCGGCCCCTCCAGTAACAAGGGCCACTTTTCCAGCTACAAAGTCCATTGTTTTTCCAGTGAGAGTGATGAATAAATGGTACTTAATTTGATCTTGAAAACTAAATATTTTCAACTGTTTGGACAAAAAGTTATCGCATTTGATTACACACTTTTAAACAATTTTTGAGGTTAGAGAACACTCACGATTGTTATGATTTTGAGACAAACATTTACCTAGAATTATCTACTTTTTATAGTTCTGTAATGAGAGATTGCACAGTCATGACCAAGTTTATCTTCTTCGATAACCCATAAAAGGCCAACAGTGAATAAAACTCAAAATATTTGCTAGTTTTTATTTCTCATTTAAGAACCGCTGAATCGATTAATGATCAAACTTTCATGGTTCTGTAACACGGTACTACAATCTCATACGCAGGTTCATCCTCTTCAACGACCCAAAAAGACCCATTTTTACCCTTCTTAATAATTTCAATGAGTGCTTCTCCCACACGGTCTGGTCTACAAAAGTTTGACAATCCAACTTTGACTTCCAACACTTAGGTACGCATACTTACGACTGCAAAACAGAATTTAAATCTCCCACTTGCTTTTCACGTAATTCTGGAGACCAAAGCACTTTCTGGTTTTTGATAATCGGAGTGTCCACCAACCCTGGACAAATTGTCAAAAAGCGAACTTTATAATTTTTGTAAAATTCTTCGTCACCCACAGCTTTTGCAAACCCGATTAACCCGTGCTTAGTTGTACAGTAACTAGGAGCGACTGACATTGTTCGAAAGGCGCAAATGGAAGCTGTGTTGACAATGACACCTTCCTCTCCAGATTTATACTTTGGAAAGTAGTTTTGCATGGCCAAATAAGATCCTTCCATTACGGCGCACTACGAATGCGACTTTAGACTTGTTTTGGTGACCAGGAAACTTACCAGATTTACGGCCACTACTCTCTTCCAGTTAACTTCATCCACTATTCCAGCGTTGTTGATGACGATATCTAGTTGTTGATAAATTTCTATAGTTTTGTCAAAAGCTCCTAGAAAATCATTGAACGTCGTCGTATCATGCACTAATAGAAAATTTTACCTTCTAGTTCTTCCTTAACTGTGACATCTGCCTTAATAAATACAACTTTGTCTTTGCCAAAAACGGTTGCGATTTCGTCGACGATTCTGCTTTCGGCGTCTTCAGAAGAATCTACGATTGCTACACCCTGAAAGAATTCTAGAACATGTTCGTAGTATTTTGGCTATTTACTTTTGCTCCATTTTTAAGAAGGTGTTTAACCATAGCTAGACCAATGCCTCCGGCGCCCCCAGTAATGAAAGCCACTTTTCGAACAACAGAATCCATTTCTTGTGTCGATATTAGTGTTCTCAGACGACTAACTTGTTTATGAGTTCGTTTTTGCAATTTTTTTTCTTAAGATATGAAACTCGTAAGTGATAATAAAGTGCATCAATTGATAGCTCAGACCTGCGTTCTTTACGTCAATATGTTTTTCTGTATTGTAAGTTATGATAATGGAACATTTAAAAAAAAAAACTTGGTTTATTGCTCTAGTACATATATTTTTCTACATTATATGTAGGTACTTAAACTTTCATGGTTTTGTAGTGAGGTACCACAACTTCGTACGCGGGTTTATCTTCTTCAATCATCCACAACGATCCACTTTTGCCCTTCTTGACAGCTTCAATCAGCCCTTCTCCTATGCGTTCCGGGCTAAAAGCACGTTTACAATTCCGGTACCACGAAGTACCACGCTTACTTACGCCTGCGCTACTAAGCTTACGGTACTAAATTCTAGATCTTTCAGTTCCGGGAATAAAAAACCATCTGGTCGTTCAGACAACGGTGTGCTTACTAACCCTGGGCAAATCGTGATGACACGTACTTGATATTTTTTGTAAAATTCTTCACCACCCAAAGCTTTCCCTAAACCAATCAATCCATGTTTCGTAGTGCAATAAATCGGAGCTACTTGGAACGTATGGAAACCACAAGTTGAAGCCGTATTAACTATAAGACCTTCATCTCCAGATTTGTACTTTGGAAGGTACTTTTTCATAGCGAGATAAGTACCTTCGATAACAGCAACCTGAATTTCAAATTTTTAGTGCTAGTTTTTTGACAAAGTTGACTCACCAAATTCAGTTCGACGGTACTCTTCCAGTCGAATTCGTCCACTTTTCCAGCATTGTTAATCACAATGTCCAGTTGGTTATAGGTTTTTATGGTGGTTTCGAAAACTGCTTCGAGTTCTGTTTTCTCAGTAACGTCTGCTTTTATAAAAGTAGCTTTATTCTCGCCAAAAATTTTAACAATTTCGTTTATAGCTCTGAATCCTGCTTCTTCAGAAATGTCTACTATTGCGACGCCCTAAAACAAAAACCAGAGACCCCATTTTTCCCTACTCTATGGTTGATTTTTACCTTCGCACCATGTTGAACCAGGTTTTTAACCATTGCTAGACCAATTCCGCCAGCTCCTCCAGTAACAAGGGCAACTTTTCCAGCAATAACGGTCATGGTTTGTCTGGAAATGACACTGTTGTGGAAAACTAAAATATTTATATGCTGAAAATGAACAAAATTTATAGTATTAGATTATAGTTTTTGAAATAGAGGACAGGCGTGATTGATTGTCTTTCAAAGCTGTTAAGGTTTATGGCGAGTACTTTCTTGATATGGGGTCATTTATAATAGAATTACGAATACTCTATTAATAAATTTTTAAATTAGTTGAGAAAATTGGTCAGTTATTACGACAGGATTTGTATGACTCCTTAAGTATAGTTCCACAAATCCCAATTTGAAATAGGTCTCCGGCTGTCTCTTCGTCTGTCCGTCTGTGTTCGTCAAAGTCAGTCTTATCTGAGCAAGTACTAGCCCCGCCCACCCGCCCCTGTTTTCTCAGAGGATAAGTCATTTGTCAAAATAAGACTTATCTTAGCAAGTACTACCCTCTGAGAAAATAAAGGACGGGTGGACGGGGCTAGTACTTGGTAACATAAGTCTTATTTTGGCAAATCACATATCCTCTGAGAAAAGAGAGGGCGGGTGGGCGGGCCTACTTGTTAAGATAAAACTGATTTTGCCACTATTAATCTTTTTTTGAAATTTAAAGATGTTAAATTCCTAAATCTACCCAAAATTTGCAGAATATCAGAGTTTTTTCTTGTGAGTTATCATTGCAAATCAGGAACGGCTCAAGCTATTTTCATAGAAACTTATGGCAATACAATACTGTTCCAATCCAAATTGATATACGTGTCCTTTAAAAATGTTGATGACGTCATCACAAAATTCTGTAAAGTAAAAACTCAACGCAAAATTGTCGGATATGTTTCACTGTACTTTAGGTGCCAGGGGAAGTTCTGTCTGTTTTCGACCATTTTTTTTTAATGTAAAACATTCTCGAAGGTCCCAAATGTCATTTTTTTAATGTGAAATCTTCTCGGGGGTCTCACCTGTCTATGTTAAAAATGTAGAGCCTTCTCGGAAGCCCTAAATGTCTTTTTAAAAATGTAAAACCTTCTCGATGGCCTCAACTGTGTTTTTAAAAATGTAGAACCTTCTCGGGGGTCCCAAATGTCTTTTTTTAAAGATGTGAAACCTTCTCGGGGGCCCCAACTGTTTTTTTTTTAAATATAAAACCTTCTCTGGAGCCCTAAATGTCTTTTCTTTTAATGTAAAACCTTCTTCCTTGTAATGGTTGGGATCCCCGAGAAGGTTTCATATTCTTAAAAAAAACGTTTGGTGCCCCCGAGAAGGTTTTACATTTTAGATAAGATAGTTGGGACCCCCGAGAAGGTTTCACATTGTTAAAAAAAGACATTTGACACCCCCGAGAAGGTTTTTACATTTTTAAAAAAGACAATTCGGACCCCCGAGAAGGTTTCACATTAAAAGCAAAGACAGTTGGGGCCCCCGAGAAGGTTTCACATTAAAAGAATAGACATTTGGAGCCCTTGAGAAGGTTATCATTTTTAAAAAAGTTGGTTGTGATCCCCGAGAAGGTTTCACATTGTTAAAAAAAAACATTTTGGCGCCCCAGAGAAGGTTTCACATTAAAAGATAAGACATTTGGAGCCCTTGAGAAGGTTATCATTTTTAAAAAAGATGGTTGGGATACCCGAAAAGATATTTGAAGCCCTTGAGAAGGTTATCATTTTTAAAAAAGATGCTTGGGAAACCTAGAAAGACATTTGGAGCCCTTGAGTACCAAATTCAGGGCTATTGCGTTTTTCCAGCCATGTTCGTCGACCACTCCGGCATTGTTAATTACAATATCTAGTTGCTTGTACGTCTGTATGGTAGTTTCAAAAGCACCTAACATACATAACAACCAGTTTAGAAATATATATACTTAAATAAAGGTGGTACCTTCTAGTTCTGATTTCTTTGTAACGTCTGCTTTTATAAAAATAACTTTATTCTGGCCAACTATTTCCATAGCTTTGCGTCCTGTTTCGTCAGAAATATCTACAATCCCTATTCCCTGTAATCAAAAATTAACTTAGGTACTTTTGGTGAGTACCTTACCTTTGCGCCATGTTGAAGAAGACTTTTAACTATAGCAAGACCGATCCCTCCGGCCCCTCCAGTAACAAGGGCCACTTTTCCAGCAACAAAGTCCATTGTTTTTCCAGTGAGAGTGATGAATAAATGGTACTTAATTTGATCTTGAATTAAATATTTAGAACTGTTAACGAATAAAAAGTTATCGCATTTGATAAGACATTTTTAAACAATTTTTGAGGTTAGAGAACACCCACGATTGTTATGATTTTGAGACAAACATTCACCTAGAATTATCTACTTTTTATAGTTCTGTAATGAGGAGTTGCACAGTCATGACCAGGTTTATCTTCTTCGATAACCCGTAAAAGGCCAACAGTGTAATAAAACTCAAAGTATTTGCTAGTTTTTATTTCTCATTTAAGAACCACTGAATCGATTAATGATCAAACTTTCATGGTTCTGTAACACGGTACTACAATCTCGTACGCAGGTTCATCCTCTTCAACGACCCAAAAAGACCCATTTTTACCCTTCTTAATAATTTCAATGAGTGCTTCTCCCACACGGTCTGGTCTACAAAAGTTTAACAATCCAGTTTTGACTTCCAACACTTAGGTACGCATACTTACGACTGCAAAACAGAATTTATATCTGCCAGTTGCTTTTCATGTAATTCTGGAGACCAAAGCACTTTCTGGTTTTTGATGATCGGAGTGTCCACCAACCCTGGACAAATGGTCAAAACGCGAACTTTATAATTTTTGTAAAATTCTTCGTCACCCACAGCTTTTGCAAACCCGATTAACCCGTGCTTAGTTGTACAGTAACTAGGACCGACTGACATTGTTCGAAAGGCGCAGATGGAAGCTGTGTTGACAATGACACCTTCCTCTCCAGATTTATACTTTGGAAAGTAGTTTTGCATGGCCAAATAAGATCCTTCCATTACGGCGCACTACGAATGCGACTTTAGACTTGTTTTGGTGACCAGGAAACTTACCAGATTTACGGCCACTACTCTCTTCCAGTTAACTTCATCCACTATTCCAGCGTTGTTGATGACGATATCCAGTTGTTGATAAATTTCTATAGTTTTGTCAAAAGCTCCTAGAAAATCATTGAACGTCGTCGTATCATGCACTAATAGAAAATTTTACCTTCTAGTTCTTCCTTAACTGTGACATCTGCCTTAATAAATACAACTTTGTCTTTGCCAAAAACGGTTGCGATTTCGTCGACGATTCTGCTTTCGGCGTCTTCAGAAGAATCTACGATTGCTACACCCTGAAAGAATTCTAGAACATGTTCGTACTATTTTGGCTATTTACTTTTGCTCCATTTTTAAGAAGGTGTTTAACCATAGCTAGACCAATGCCTCCGGCGCCCCCAGTAATGAAAGCCACTTTTCGAACAACAGAATCCATTTCTTGTCTCGACATTAGTGTTCTCAGACGACTAACTTGTTTATGAGTTCGTTTTTGTAATTTTTTTTCTTAAGATATGAAACTCGTAAGTGATAATAAAGTGCATCAATTGATAGCTCAGACCTGCGTTCTTTACGTCAATATGTTTTTCTGTATTGTAAGTTATGATAATGGAACATTTAAAAAAAAAACTTGGTTTATTGCTCTAGTACATATATTTTTCTACATTATATGTAGGTACTTAAACTTTCATGGTTTTGTAGTGAGGTACCACAACTTCGTACGCGGGTTTATCTTCTTCAATCATCCACAACGATCCACTTTTGCCCTTCTTGATAGCTTCAATCAGCCCTTCTCCTATGCGTTCCGGGCTAAAAGCACGTTTACAATTCCGGTACCACGAAGTACCACGCTTACTTACGCCTGCGCTACTAAGCTTACGGTACTAAATTCTAGATCTTTCAGTTCCGGGAATAAAAAACCATCTGGTCGTTCAGACAACGGTGTGCTTACTAACCCTGGGCAAATCGTGATGACACGTACTTGATATTTTTTGTAAAATTCTTCACCACCCAAAGCTTTCCCTAAACCAATCAATCCATGTTTCGTAGTGCAATAAATCGGAGCTACTTGGAACGTATGGAAACCACAAGTTGAAGCCGTATTAACTATAAGACCTTCATCTCCAGATTTGTACTTTGGAAGATACTTTTTCATAGCGAGATAAGTACCTTCGATAACAGCAACCTGAATTTCAAATCTTTAGTGCTAGTTTTTTGACAAAGTTGACTCACCAAATTCAGTTCTACGGTACTTTTCCAGTCGAATTCGTCCACTTTTCCAGCATTGTTAATCACAATGTCCAGTTGGTTATAGGTTTTTATGGTGGTTTCGAAAACCGCTTCGAGTTCTACTTTCTTAGTAACGTCTGCTTTTATAAAAGTAGCTTTATTGTCGCCAAAAATTTTAACAATTTCGTTTATAGCTCTGAATCCTGCTTCCTCAGAAATGTCTACTATTGCTACACCCTAAAACAAAAACCAGAAACCCCATTTTTCCTACGCTAGGGTTAATTTTTACCTTCGCACCATGTTGAACGAGGTTTTTAACCATTGCTAGACCAATTCCGCCAGCTCCTCCAGTAACAAGGGCCACTTTTCCAGCAATAACGGTCATGGTTTGTCTGGAAATGACACTGTTGTGGAAAACTAAAATATTTATATGCTGAAAATGAACAAAATTTATAGATTAGATTATAGTTTTTGAAATAGAGGACAGGCGTGATTGATTGTCTTTCAAAGCGTTAAGGTTTATGGCGAGTGCTTTCTTGATATGGGGTCATTTATAATAGAATTACGAATACTCTATTAATAAATTTTTAAATTAGTTGAGAAAATTGGTCAGTTATTACGACAGGATTTGTATGACTCCTTAAGTATAGTTCCACAAATCCCAATTTGAAATAGGTCTCCAGCTGTCTCTTCGTCTGTCCGTCTGTCTGTCCGTCTGTGTTCGTCAAAGTCAGTCTTATCTGAGCAAGTACTAGCCCCGCCCACCCGCCCCTGTTTTCTCAAAGGATAAGTCATTTGTCAAAATAAGACTTATCTTAGCAAGTACTACCCTCTGAGAAAATAAAGGACGGGTGGACGGGGCTACTACTTGGTAACATAAGTCTTATTTTGGCAAATCACATATCCTCTGAGAAAAGAGAGGGCGGGTGGGCGGGCCTACTTGTTAAGATAAAACTGATTTTGCCACTATTAATCTTTTTTTGAAATTTAAAGATGTTAAATTCCTAAATCTACCCAAAATTTGCAGATTATCAGAGTTTTTCCTTGCGAGTTATCATTGCATTAATATTTTTTAGATTTGCTTATACAAGTGACTCAAAAAAGTTAATGAATGCTTCAATTTATTTTATTGATTAAATCAGGAACGCCTCAAGCCATTTTCATCAAAACTTATGGGAATACAATACTGTTCCAATCCAAATTGATATACGTGTCCTTTAAAAATGTTGATGACGTCATCACAAAATTCTGTAAAGTAAAAACTCAACGCAAAATTTTTTCACTGTACTTTAGGTGCGAGGGAAGTTATGTCTGCTTTCGACCATTTTTTTTTTAATGTAAAACAATCTCGAAGGTCTCAAATGTCATTTTTTTAATGTGAAACCTTCTCGGGGGTCTCACATGTCTATGTTAAAAATGTAGAACCTTCTCGGAAGCCCTAAATGTCTCGGGGGTCCCAACTATCTTATCTAACATGTAAAACCTTCTCGGGGGCGCCAAATGGTTTTTTTTAAGAATGTGAAACCTTCTCGGGGATCCCAACCATCTTTTTTAAAAATGATAACCTTCTCAAGGGCTCCAAATGTCTTTTCGGGTCTCCCAACCATCTTTTTTAAAAATGATAACCTTCTCAAGGGCTCTAAATGTCTTTTCTTTTAATGTGAAACCTTCTCGGGAGCCCCAACTGTCTTTCCTTTTATTGTGAAACCTTCTCGGGGGTCCCAATTGTCTTTTTTAAAAATGTAAAAACCTTCTCGGGGGTGCCAACTGTCTTTTTTTAACAATGTGAAACCTTCTCGGGGGTCCCAACTGTCTTTTTTAAAAATGTAAAAACCTTCTCGGGGGTCCCAACTGTCTTTTTTAAAAATGTAAAAACCTTCTCGGGGGTACCATGTGTCTTTTTTTAACAATGTGAAACCTTCTCGGGGGTCCCAAATATCTTATCTAACATGTAAAACCTTCTCGGGGGGCCAAATGTTTTTTTTTAAGAATGTGAAACCTTCTCGGGGATCCCAACCATCTTTTTTAAAAATGATAACCTTCTCAAGGGCTCCAAGTGTCTTTTCGGGTATTCCAACCATCTTTTTTAAAAATGATAACCTTCTCGAGGGCTCTAAATGTCTTTTCTTTTAATGTGAAACCTTCTCTCGGGAGCCCCAACTGTCTTTCCTTTTATTGTGAAACCTTCTCGGGGGTCCCAACTGTCTTTTTTAAAAATGTAAAAACCTTCTCGGGGGTGCCAACTGTCTTTTTTTAACAATGTGAAACCTTCTCGGGGGTCCCAACTGTCTTATCTAAAATGTAAAACCTACTCGGGGGCGCCAAATATTTTTTTTAAGAATGTGAAACCTTCTCGGGGGCCCCAACCATCTTTTTTAAAAATGTTAACCTTCTCAAGGGCTTCAAATGTCTTTTCTTTTAATATGAAACCTTCTCGGGGGCCCTAACTATCTTTCCTTTTAATGTGAAACCTTCTCAGGGGTCCGAACAGCGTTTTTTAAAAATGTAAAAACCTTCCCGGGGGTGCCAACTGTCTTTTTTTAACAATGTGAAACGTTCTCGGGGATCCCAACCAACTTTTTTAAAAATGATAACCTTCTCAAGAGCTCCAAATGTCTTTTCTTTTAATGTGAAACCTTCTCGGGGGTCCCAACTGTCATTTTTAAAAATGTAAAAACCTTCTCGGGGGCGCCAACTGTCTTTTTTTAATAATGTGAAACCTTCTCAGGGGTTCCAACTGTCTTATCAAAAATGTAAAACCTTCTCGGGGGCGCCAAATGTTTTTTTTTTAATATGTGAAACCTTCTCGGGGATCCCAACCATCTTTTTTTAAAAATGATAACCTTCTCAAAGGCTCCAAATGTCTTTTCTTTTAATGTGAAACCTTCTCGGGGGTCCCAACTGTCTTTTTTAAGAATGTAAAAACCTTCTCGGGGGTACCAAATGTCTTTTTTTAACAATGTGAAACCTTCTCAGGGGTCCCAACTCTCTTATCTAACATGTAAAACCTTCTCGGGGGCACCAAATGTTTTTTTTAAGAATGTGAAACCTTCTCGGGGATCCCAACCATCTTTTTTAAAAATGATAACCTTCTCAAGGGCTCCAAATGGCTTTTCGGGTAACCCAACCATCTTTTTTAAAAATGATAACCTTCTCAAGGGCTCTAAATGTCTTTTCTTTTAATGTGAAACCTTCTCGGGAGCCCCAACTGTCTTTCCTTTTATTGTGAAACCTTCTCGGGGGTCCCAACTGTCTTTTTTAAAAATGTAAAAACCTTCTCGGGGGTGCCAACTGTCTTTTTTAACAATGTGAAACCTTCTCGGGGGCCCCAACTGTCTTATCTAAAATGTAAAACCTACTCGAGGGCGCCAAATGTTTTTTTTTAAGAATGTGAAACTTTCTCGGGAGCCCCAACCATCTTTGTTAAAAGTTATAACCTTCTCAAGGGCTTCAAATGTCTTTTCGGGTATCCCAACCATCTTTTTTAAAAATGATAACCTTCTCAAGGGCTTTAAATGTCTTTTCTTTTAATGTGAAACCTTCTCGAGGGTCACAACAACAATAATTTATGCGTCGTCTACTGTGTAAATTGAGAAAAAATTACAAAAAAAGAGTATTTCTATATTTGGTGTATTGTTGGTTGCTTAGTTAAACTTTCATGGTTTTGTGCTGAGGTACCACAACTTCATACACAGGTTCGTTATTTTCAATAACCCACAAAGAGCCATTTTTACCCTTTTTGATGGCTTCAATTAATCCCTCGCTCACACGTTCTGAACTACAAGTGAGTTTAGAACTTCAGTACTTGAGGTACTACGTATACTTACGCTTGTGCCACCAAACACACGGCACCAACTTCCTTCTCCAACACTTCTGGAAATAAAAAACCATCTGGTCGTCCAGAAATAGGGGTATTCATTAAACCTGGACAAATTGTAAGAACGCGTACTTTATATTTTTTGTAAAATTCGTCACCACCAAGAGCTTTCCCTAACCCAATCAATCCATGTTTGGTTGCGCAGTAAACGGGATTTATTTGGAATGAATGGAGACCACAAATTGAAGCTGTATTGATTACAAGACCTTCTTCTCCGGATTTGTATTTCGGAAGGTACTTCTGCATAGCGAGATAAGTGCCTTCGATAACAGCTACCTAAACTCAAACATTTATAGTGTTTAATTTTATCAAGAAAGTACTCACCAAATTCACTGCTATTGTGTTTTGCCATTCAATTTCGTCCAATATTCCAGCATTGTTAATCACAATATCCAACTGCTTGTATGCGTTTATAGTCGTTTCGAAGGCTCCTGAAGTACTTAGTTACACAAAGTCAATATAAATAAAAAGTACTACCTTCCAGTTCTGTTTTATTTGTAATGTCTGTTTTTATGAAAGTAATTCTTTTCTCGTCAAAAATTTTTCCAATCTCGTTGACAGCTTTGCGTCCTGCTTCTTCAGAAATGTCTACTATTGCTATGCCCTAAAATAAAAAATTAAAAGTGTCGATATTTGGTTGGTAATTTACCGACTTTTGCGCCATGGTTAAGAAGGTTTTTAATGATGGCAAGACCGATAGATCCTGCTCCTCCAGTAATAAGTACTACTTTTCCAGCGATAAAGTCCATCCTGTTCTGACCAATAAGTGATAATTTGAACGTGGAGACTAATATTTAAGAATAATTTATGAACAAGAAGTTATCGCATTTGATAAGATTGGTAAAAATAATCTTTTAAAATAGACGGTACTATCATGTTTTCGATAACCCACAAAAACAATTTGTGTTTATCACTTATTTAACACTTAAGAAAAACCCCTCTCATCCTTCAGATTATATTTTGTTTAAAAAAAATCTCAGTACGTTAGATATTTAAACTTTCATGGTTCTGTGTTCCGGTACTACCACTTCATGTGCTGGTTCATCCTCTTCAATAACCCACAATGACCCGTTTTTTCCCTTCTTGATGGCTTCAATCAGTCCTTCACCTATGCGTTCTGGGCTACAATCAGGTTTGTAAATCAGTACTATGTAGTAACAAGCGTACTTACTCCTGTGTTATCGACCACACGGAACCAAATTCCTCGTCTTTCACCTCTGGGAATAAAAATCCGCTTGAATCTTGAGACATCGCCGTTCTGACCAAGCCTGGGCAAATCGTAACAACGCGTACCTTATACCTTTTGTAAAATTCGTCTCCACCTAGGGCTTTTCCTAAGCCTATTAAGGCGTGTTTGGTTGCACAATACACAGGAGCGATTTGGAAAGCCTGGAAACCACAAACCGAAGCTGTGTTGATTATAAGACCTTCTTCGCCGGATCGGTACTTTGGAAGGTACTTCTGCATTCCGAGATAAGTCCCTTCGACAACAGCAACCTAGTTAAATTTAAATATTTAGTGACTATTTTTGTAACGAAATGTCGTACCAAATTTAGTGCTATTAACAGATCTTCCAGCCATGTTCGTCGACCACTCCGGCATTGTTAATTACAATATCTAGTTGCTTGTACGTCTGTATGGTAGTTTCAAAAGCACCTACATATATAACAACCAGTTTAAAAATATATATATTTAAATAAAGGTGGTACCTTCTAGTTCTGCTTTCTTTGTAACATCTGCTTTTATAAAAGTAACTTTATTTTTGCCAACTATTTCCATAGCTTTGCGTCCTGCTTCGTCAGAAATATCTACAATCCCTATTCCCTGAAATCAAAAATTAACTTAGGTACTTTTG